CTACTGTTATATTCTCAGCACTTACACAATGTTTGCTACATAGCAGGTACTCAGTAGTTTCTGAACAAAATAAATGATTAAACCATTATAATTACATTGTTAATTACTGAAAATTCAGCTGTGATAGCTTCCCCTGGGGCTTTTGATATGCCTCTATGATATCTGTGTATATTGGAAGTAGAGGAAAGTTTGACAGAGAAAAGTAATTGGGTTGAATTATTGAAAGAGGAAAGTATTAAAGGGAGTCCCACAGTCCTAGAGTCACCATTACCCTGCTCTACAGAGCTTAGGATGGCAGACAGAAGTAAGGGGTAGATAGAGATTATTAAATCCTAGGATGTTTATGGAAAAGCAGAGCACCACTAATCCTACCTGGTTCCTCTCCCCGTCTTTGATTAAGATGGCTCCTTTCATTCTTGCTTCTCCTGTCTGGAAGTTGTCAGGGGTCAGGATTTGAAGAAGGCTTTGTTAGGAAGGGCCAGGGTTGATAGCCAATGACAAGCAGAAGGAACTCACGGAGATAAGTAAATTATTCACAGTTTGTCATCTTCAGGGACACTCTTGAAAAGTTGATTTCCCGTTTTAGGGTAATATACTACAAAAGAGGAAAGAAAGTACTTACTAGAGATGGCAGTATGTAGGGGACAAAATGAGTAACTCACACTTTCACAAATTATTTGTGGAACTGTCAGATGGTGATGTTACCTGAAGGCAAGTACACTTTTATTCACAGTTATTCACCATATTATCTATACAATTCAGTTCTGAATTGGAGATACAGTTAAGATTTGAGGTAGGAAAGAATAATTCAAACAGCCCTGTATCAGAGCTTCTCCATTACTAACTCATCTTCATGTAATTTTATGTGTGTTTATGATCTTTATTATTCATATGTTGACAATATAATGTTTATAATTAGGGAAGTAAATCAATAAATTATCACTCTTATCAGAGAAATCATCCAAAATTTAGCAAGAGGCAAAAGATATGAATGGCCATTCTCTCAGTAGAGGGCTTCATTTGAAATTCTAGCAACAAAGCTACTTTCCAACTCTAGGCAAAGGGGTTAATTAGTAGTTTCATCCAGTAGAAATGCAAATAATGTCTGTCCAATGGAACATATTATCTGATATGTTATGGTTTATTATTATATTGTAGGATAGTAAGCCAGTTTTGTAACTAATCCTCTCATTTATCTCAATATTTATTTATATAATACATATATATATATATATTGCTAGCTTCTCTAATGCTCTTTGGACTAGTTTCTAGATCTCATTAGTTCCCTCTTTAGGTAATGAACTGAATAAAATCCATGACTTGTTCATTTTACTTTTGTTATGAGAGTTTTTTTTAACTTTTACAAAATTAACACTAACATTTTTTTATTAGCTCTCAAAATTACCCTATATTCTATTGACTTTACCTAATGGGAATTAGTTGATTGACAAGTAACCTCATAAAGCTTACTGCTTACTTTAAAACCTGAAGCATTACATTCATCGTTTGTCTTTCCTGTTTTCTATAAACACATCACCCATTCTTCCCATCCAAGTTATTACATGGATAATTCTTGGTTTTTCATAGGCCTTGATCCATGCTTGGTACTTTATGACTTTGTAACAAGTTTTTAGTAAAACTTAATTTTACTGTAACCACCTAAGCAATAGGCAACTGGAAAAAACACTGCATATGTCAAATTTGTTTTTGTTCATCCTTATCACTCTTAAAGCAGATATATAAATCAAAATAAAATATTAGACTTTACAGTGATAACAGACTGAGTTCAACAGACAAAATTATTCTGAATGTTCTATGGAGGATTAAATTAAATTAAAGAATGCCCAAAAGTAACACCACCACTAAAGATTATGATACAAAAAAATTTTGAAGGAGAAAAACTAATGGAATTGTCATTGAAAATAGGTTTTTTAAAAATAAAATAATGTGCTGTTTTCTTCTACTACCCTCATAATATGACACTTGCTAAGTGGCAGTCAGAAACTTTCTGATCATTCATAGACAATAATTTCTTCTTAAGGAAGTATTTCATTTTTCTAGCTGTGGTCAAATTTTTCTACACTATTTTCATCTTCATTAAAGGAGAACCATAAAAAGCAAAAAGAAACATTTCTAAAGATCATTGTATACAAAAAGAGTATTCTATAATTTGGCATTATCACTCATTCTTGCATGCAGCCTCATTGTTACTTCTGGTCATTTCATTCTAGAATGTGAATGAAAAGACAAACAAGCAATTTTTTAATTAGGAATTTATTAGGAGAAACTCAAAAATGAAGTAAAAAAATTGATAAGGTTGCATAATAGGATTTAAGAATGTCGTTTCTTCCAATGCTGACTGAATAAAACATCAATATTGATGTTTAATATAGTTTAGAAAATTATTATTTCTACACTGTCAAGAAATATTGGTAAATAATATAGAAATTATATTAAAAGGGTAAGTAAACATAAATGACAAAAACTTCTGTTACTAGAGAGATTTCATGTAATATGGTATTTAATTTCTAAAAATGTAAAATCTTGTTCATCTGAAATGCCACATTTTCTGTAGAAATTTCTGATAAATACTAAAAACTGAGTTATTCAGTTCCTGTTCATATTTCAAGAGTCATCCCTCAAGTTTAAATTTATGAGTAGTTTTGTTTAAAAGATTAGTTTGTGACATACCAACTATCATCGATGTAGACATTTTAAAATATTAACTATTATAAGCTAGAAATATTTTAAAAACTGAGGTCAGATTTGGCCCAAGGTCACACTAATATATCTCTCATTGTCTACTACTGACATTTGCTGAATATTACCTCAGGCTACATTTTTAGCATTCCCTCTGGCAAGTAGAGATTAGATGTGACATTTCTTGGCCAGAATAAAACATAAGGTCAATTCTAAAAAATATAATACTGCATTTTTTTCTGTGCAACTTTGCATTTGCTTATCTGTAGTACACAGACAGTTCATTTTAAAGCATGGGACTTACGAACCACTACTGGCACATAATAAATCCTTCCTACAGGATGCCTCACCACCATTGTCCCACCCTATCTGACTACCTCCCAAGCCCTCAGCAAAATCCCTGAGAAAACAAATACAGTGGAAGAAAGAATTCTCCAGCTCCAACTGTAAGAGGTTGAGGGAGTTTATCCTCCCACTACTTGAAAAAGATGGTACTTTCATCAGTGGAAAGTTTCCCACTGAGATAATGTTATAAATGATGATTGGTATATGTAAATCCATGAGTTACTATTCAACTTTATTGTGAATTACGTAAGATTTTGTATAACCTCAAACAGGTATCAATTATTTGTTAAAGTACAACCCATTGGTAGGTTTGTAGGAGGAAGAATAATTTTGAAATGTCATGAATTATGCTTGGCATTTTTTCTTCCTAGAACTTTAACATTTTTTTAAAAGGTAACAATAATAATAAAAACCCACATGTGGCCTGAGAGCCAGTTTTGCTCTCATAATCACCCTGCCACATCCACTGAACCTGATTAGAGTCAATTCGTAAATGAAATTAGTAAACAAAAATGTACTTGAGTTTTGCTCTCTGAATGAAATGCAAGGCTTACATAATTCAAGCAACTAAACATACAGATAGTTAAAATGAAGAAAAAAAATCTTACAAACCATGAACAATATCCAAAACGAAGAAAATTGTCAACTTAAAATTTAAAATATGATTATAATTACTTCTTGTATGGCTATTGATACTGAGCTACATGGCACAAAAAAAAATACACTTAATATGCAGTAATGGGTTTATTTTGCTTAGTATAGGTCTTATCTAGAAAGGCACACCTAGAGGTGGATTTAGGATCCTGATTGCAGGATTGCATTATCAGTAATTCAGATAATCTGAAAACTTGAAAATAATGCCCTTACTCCTGGATTTAAATATAATCTACAAATAACCATTACTATTAGGAGAAACTCAACAAAAAGCCAGTAGATACACATTTCCTTCTATATGCAGCAATACGTCTTCATAGGTATCTAGGAAATGTCACTGTATGTTGAAGGACCCTGTGCTATGCTACTTCAACCTTCTCTATTAAATAAAGTAACTGTCAGTAACTGGGTTGAAGCTACAGAGCACAGACAGCTCTCCATATCTATAAGGAGTGCAATGAACCATCCAAGTTAACTCAGCAGAGAGAACATTCACTAACAAAATGATTGTGGAGACCCATTGACTTGATGGATGTCTGGGATCGTATGGCATAGAAGAGCCCATGACAAAAATGGGAACAGATTCGAAAGTCATTATCAGCCTCCTTTTATCCATTCTGGCATGGTTTATTAGTATGAGACAGGCTCCCTGTTTCTTCTTTCATGTTACTGTTCTATGAACCAATGAATGTTTTCATTTGGAAAATAAGAAAGCATTGACATGTTATCTGAACTGTGGCTTCTTATAGTGATGCCAAGGGAATAAATATGCTAATTCCGTGCTTTGAAGAACGTACTGGGTAAGGCCCATTACTTCACTGATTTCAGTGATTTCTATGCCCAGGTGAGAACAGTTTAAAACTACATACCACAGGATATTTCTTTATGCAAAAATTTTGATTTAGAAATGTAATGGGGAATTACAGTGACACATTTTGATGTACTTTCAAATGGTAATCTGCATATTACATTCTCCAAAGTAAAGTTTAATTCATCATTTGTTAATTAACTCAAAGCAATTTACCTCAAACTAGTGCTTGATTCTTCATAAAAGAAGCAGTTACTAAGAAAAGCTACCACAGAAATCTTGAAATATTCACAAAGTCTTACACTAATAATGCCTTTTAATATAGGAATAAAAGACAATCGCCTCATATGCACACAAATGTACAAAAACACATTCCTCAAAGAAATGTTTCCTCAGAACACCAGAGCTTTCATAGAAGGAACTAAAAAAAGTAGAAGTGCCAACTAGAAAGAAGAGTTTTCCCTAGCTTTAAAACTGGAACGAAACAACTCTCAACATTTGCAAAACATTCCTTTATTATTAGAAATAAATTATTTGTATAAAAAATTGCATGCATCAATCATTGCATTTATTTTTAGCACAACCCAGGGCTTCAATCCGGTCAGCCATTACAAGAAACAGACTCATTGTCTTATACAAGTTGAACAATGTGGGACAGGAACGGGAGTTCTCACAATCACAGAAAAATACTTACAAGAATAACATCAGACATGATTTATTTCAACAGCATTTTTTTTTTCACAAGCTAACATTAGTTTTCCTTTTGTGATTTTTTTTTAACTGCTCATGAGTAAGCAATACTTTAGCTTGACACTTATTGGTTTTATTGTATAAAACGGGTTTCTTCACTTCCCGTTTATTGATACTTTTGGCTCATGGCTAATTTTTGTTCCTTACAAGACTGACTATTGATTTAATTGATTGTAGTCTACGGAGATCTCCAGGAGTGAATTTTTGTGGTCTCATGTTCATTGTTTAACATCATATACCACATTTCTTCAGATTGTATCATTTCCCTGTTTCAGATTGAATGATTGCTGTAGCTGATATATGTTGTCTTGGTAGAGGAAGCTGTTAAGATAAATGAGGACAAATTAAAATAGCATATAATAGTACATCATTTTGTTAATATGATTTTAAAATTCAAATCCTGTAATGACTGTTTTGTAATATCCAGCTTTTACAGCATGTTACTCATTATTTTTAAACCATTCACAGTCATGCACAACATAATGACATTTCAGGTCAACAGCAGACCTCATTATATAAAGGTAGTCCCAAAAGATTACAATGGAGCTGAAAATTCCTATCACCCAACGAAGCCAGCCATCATAACACAGCACGTAATTCACATGTTTGTGGTTTGTTATATAAACAAACTTCCTGTACTGCCAGTCATGAAAAAGCATAGCACATACAATTATGTACAATACATAATACTTGATAATAACACACGACTGTGTTACTAGTTTAAGTATTTACTACACTATACTTTTTTATCATTATTTTAGAGTGCACTTCTTCTACTTATACACTATAAAGTTAACTGTACAACAGCCTCAGGCAGGTCCTTCAGGGGTATTCCAGAATAAGGCATTGCTATTACACGAGATGACAACTTCATGCGTGCTGTTACCCCTGAAGACCTTCCAGCGGAATAAGACGTGGAGGTGGAAGTGATATTGATGACCCTGACCCTCTGGAGGCCTAGGGTAAAGTGTGTGTGTGTGTGTGTGTGTGTGTGTGTGTGTGTGTGTACATCTTAAACACAAAAAGTTTAAAAAGTAAAACAAATAAATAAAAATAGAAAAAAGTCTATCCTTGAGTAAGGATATAAATATAGAAAATAGTTTTTATAGCTGGACAATGCATTTGTGTTTTAAGCTGTTATTACAAAACAGTCAAAATTTTAAAAGAATAAAAAGTTTATAAAGTAAAAAAGTTATCATAGGCAAAGATAGTATAGTTTAAAATAAATTTAGTAGAGTCTAAGTGTAGAGTGTTTATAATATCGACAATACCACCATGTCCTAGGCCTTCACATTCAATCATCACTCATTCACTTAATGACCCAGGGCAACCTCCAATACGACAAGCTCCATTCACAGCACATGCCCTATCTACATATACCATTTTCATCTTATATACTCATTTTTTGCTGTGTTTTTTCTATGTTTAGATATGTTTAGATACACAAATATCATTGTGTTACAATTACGTATACAATTCAGTACAGTAACATGCTATACAGGTTTGTAGCCTAGGTAGAATTGCTATGCTATATTGCCTGGGTGTGTCGTGGGCTATACCATTTGGTTTGTGTAAGTACACTGTATGATGTTTGCACAAAGACAAAATTGCCTAACAACGCATTTCTTAGAACATGCCATTAAGCAATGCATGACTGCAGTAAAAATTAAATGACAGTAGAACTAAAAATGCTGCAGCAATTTTAATCTGTCAAAGTCAGTAGTCTCATTTATAGTATATAGGTATGTAATAGAAAACTAAATATGAAAGTGCCAATCTTTAATATTTTAGGTAAAATTTTACCTTTGCATACATATAGAATAAAAGAACAGATCAATTATCTGTCCTACAAAATACAGAAAGTATTTTTTACTACCTAAGTCAAAGACCTTGATTCTTTGAGACTTATATAATGACCAAAAAAAGTAGTGATTATAATTAGTTGTGTTATGAAAATAAATACATCTTCCACTTAAAAATACATAATAATCTTAGACTTTAGAGTTGAACATGCTAAAATATCAAGTATACAGAATAGTAAATATGTGAATTGCCAATACATATTTATGGTTTGTTTTGGTTTCATCAAAAGGAGACAAATAAAGATGCTTCAGAAAATAAAGACTCAAATAAATAAATATTTAATTGTTCTAATACCAACATACTGCAAAGTAAAACTCACTATTTTAAGACCACTAGAGAGATATTATGGCAAATTTATATTCATGCCTAAACTTCTGGAGAATGTAAATCTAAATCCAAATAATTCCTTCGGATTTCTAAAAGATGTGATGCCACGAATCGCCGTCCTAAAATTCAAATGTGATGTCCTATTTTTTCGTGTAATTCAGGAATGAATAATCATAAGATAAAAGATATTTTAAAAAGCAAAGCATGTGTTTCAAAATATGAATCCAATTCAGGATAAAACAGATTTTTAGAAAATAATTTAGTTATTGAACACTGAATAAGACTAGAGACTGTCAAGTTCCTCCTCCGAAATAACTGATAGTCAGACTCATTCCATCTTAGTATGTTACACTATTGAAGGACTAGACAAGTTCTTACCAGAGAACAAGTTCATACCAAGTTCATAACCACTAAAATTAATTCAGATAGCCCTAAGAAGTGCTACTATAGATGTTTTTTATTATTTATTATTTCATTGAATATTATGAGCTTCAGCGTAAAAATAGTTGATATATCTGCTTATCTTATCTACATTGCTTACCCTTCTAGGGTATTATCCTTTGCACAGTGCAAAGGAAGAAGACTTTAGACCTGGTTTCAAATTACATTCTATTCCCTACAAATGAGTGAAAAAAAAAGGTCACTGGGCCAGGTTATTGGGCCTCAGTTTTATCACTAGTTCAGAACCTACAATACTGGGTTTCTGTGAGGATGAAAGCGGAATAGACTGGGATGGAACAGCTATAGACTGGAAGAGCCAATATTGAGCCAGCCTCCCTCCCTCCCTTCCTCTCTTCCTTCTTTCCTTTCTTCCATCCTTCTTTCTTTTCTTTCTGTGAACCATACATGAGACCTAATGGAGTACTACTTTCTAATTAACCTTTCCAGAAGGTATAGTATTTGTTACATTTGATTTGGTTTGAAATGAAACACAATGATTTTCTATGATTGCTCATTTTTACTTTTTATTTTTAATTTATATAATGCTCTCATATACCTCTAAATTTTCTCTAAGAAAATAAAATCTGTCCTTCAGTGCTGTTTTGGAAGGACTTTCATTTAATCTTCATAGACAAGGTGGAGAAAAGTTGTCAAAAGAGTTATAAAAATGACCATTAAAAGAATCATCCAACTCCTGTTCAGTATTTTCAACAATAACTAAAAATGTAGGAAATAGTTATAAAATTTGTATATAGCTACAAAAAGAATTATGGTTGAAATAGAGTAAACAAGAGTTGAAAGAGCTTGAAAGATATAGTATTCAGAAGATGTCCATTCAACAGATGGCAATTGGATCAGACCATTTTTAAGGAACTTTCCAACTTTGGGGCTCTGTAGCTAATTAAAGATACCATTTTTTGAACTCTCTCTCTCTTTTTTTTTTTTTTTTTCTGAGATGGAGTCTTGCTCTGTAGCCAAGCTGGAGTACAGTGGTGCAATCGTGGCTCACTGCAACCTCTGCCTTCTGGGTTCAAGCGATTCTTCCACCTCAGCCTCCCGAGTAGCTGGGACCACAGGCACGTACCACCATGCCCGACTAATTTTTGTATTTTTAGTAGAGACGGGTTTCACCATGTTGGCCAGGATGGTCTCGAGCTCTTAACCTCATGATCCACCTGCCTTGGACTACCAAAGTGCTGGGATTACAGGCGTGAGCCACCGCGCCTGGCCTTTTGAATTCTTAAATGTAGTTTCTAGGAAGAAAAAATGGTAGAATTCCATTGAGAATTGAGAATAAAATTCACAAAAGGAGAGTAATGCTAATTTTTGTACTGGTTAGAAAAGGAAGTGTAAGGCTCTGGAAACAGATGATTTAGTCAACATGAAAGTGACGATAAGGGGCAAACTTTGTGGGTGGCAGATATCTCCCAAGAATCTTTATCGCAGAAGTATTATAGAACAAAATGAATCAGAGACATACAGATGAGTTCATAGGGAGATTTCTTTTTCCAGCGTTTTTTTCATAGTGATGAATATGCTTATATGAAAATCAGCTTTTGAGTACAGCAACAGTAAATTTCCTTGTGTGCAGCACACTGTGTTCACAAGCTAGAGAACACAAATCTACCTGCAGCAGCTGTTTTCATAATTATTCATGAGCATAGCTTAAGGAATACTATGTGCAGCATTTGTTAATTGAGTACAGTTGGCAAAATTCATATATATCAACTTGGTTTCTAACTTCCTTACACTCTGTTATGAAATAACACTTGACCTTTTTTTTTCTAAATATAAAATATAGTCTGCAAATTCAGCAATTAACACCGTACTCATTGGTTTCCCATCCAGCTTCCTATTACTTACATTTATTCTGTGTAGATTTTGAAGCTTTAACATCTTGAACACAAATCTACCCTTTCATTGTAAAATGGCCATGTAAGTGAACAAAGGTTAAAAACGGTGACTTGGAGTAGGATTGTGGAAGGGTGTGTGAAGATGTCACACATGTTTCTCTCTTGAATGAATACACTGTAATCACTTTACTTGAGCCTAACTTATTCAGACCTAAACTACTCCTGTAAAAGATCAATGTACTAAAATCTCCCAAGTACAACTAAATCTTTTTTTCTGGTAGTAATTGATATTATCTTGATTCACTTTTTGACTTTCCTTCACCTCCTAAAAGTGAGCATCTGACTCCTCCAGAATATTATAGGCTTACCCTCCAAATAAGCCTTGTGTTTGCAATCTTTCATTCTCATTTTAAGAAAATAGAGAAATACATGCATGCTATATAATTTCCATTTCAACATTAACAGAAAATAACCAAAGGAAAACAGTGTGAGATTCACTTCAATAATATGAGATTAGTTCTTATCAATACTGAGAATTTTCTTTTACGGGACATCTATTTATTCTTTAAAGTGGTGAAAAAGTTATTAGATTTTTTTTTCCCACCACTTTCTAAAGATGAATCTGGATGACTGGTATTTATTTCACTATAAATTTGGCAACCATATTTTACAAAGTTTCTAGATTGCTGCTAAAAAAAAAAAAAAAGAAAAGAAAAGAAAGAAAAACAATACAAAAGAACAAAGAACAACAATAGACACTCTGGTGAGTCATACTGAGAAGTACCAGTGTTCAAATTATATCACTGGCCAACAGCAGTTTATTGACATCCTACAATAGGTTTCAGCTTCCTACACTGATGCTCTCAAGGTAGGAAAAAAGATGAAATATTTCCTCAAATCACAAGCATTCTACTTTGATGCCTTTAATGGCAGTTATAGTATACCTTTTGCTAAGAGCTGAAATAGGCTTACTATTAGTAAATTGCTTCCCTACACTCAGAGATGATTGTAATGATTTGTTCCTAAAGCCCATCCTTATCTTGCCTTCTCATATTTCTTACTCCACAAGTTATCATGTTTGCAGAAAGGTTAATATGCGGAAGGTGTTTATGAAATTCTTGTAAGGTTCATTTCTCTACAAGTGACTAAATTTGGTATCACTGACCTGAAGGTAATCTTTTTAGAGCCAATCTGGCTAATAATTCCAGATAAGCTGATAGTAACTTAAACCAGTATGTCTAATTAAGCAATGCTAATCAACTACCACAGGGTAGTTCTGTGTATGGTACCTTGATAGACAATGCTTATCTAGAAATATTGATACAAAAAGTTTATAGATCGAATGTAGACCATGAGTTGCTATGATAATTAAACCAAATGAAATTAACTTTTAGCTTTTTCTTGTATTTAGTGTCAAAAGTATGGACAGTAGGGGATACAGACTGGTGGATGAAAATGAGAGGAAGAGAATATTTTTGCATAGAATTTTGTCCTTAATTACTGAATGCTTGGCCGGGTGTGGTAACTCACATCTGTAATCCTAGCATTTTAGGGGGCTTAGGTGGGAGGATCACTTGAGCCTAAGAGTTAGAGACAAGCCTGGGCAATATAATGACACCCTGTCTCTACAAAATAAATAAACAAAATTAGCTGGGCATGGTGGCACGTGACTACAGTCCAAGATATTTGGAAGGTTGAGGTGGGAGGATCACTTGAGCCCAGGAGGTAGAGGCTGCTGTGAGCCTAGATCACACCATTGCACTCCAGCCTCGGCAACAAAGCAAGTACCTGTTTCAAACAGAAAACAAAACAAATATTGAATACCTAATGTTATATTCCAAAAGACTGGAAGCCACTCTTTTTTTTTTTTTTTTTTTTTTTTTTTTGATTCATCTGTAGAACCTAGTAAGGAAAGGTTGTCATGTTTATCATACTAAGCTTTCTGGTATTTTACCATACAAATCTTCAATCTATTTGCCACTCTTTCATAGATAACAAGATGGACCTCAACAGATCTGTTAAATTCTACTGGCTGAGCCCAGGTTTCTGTGTCTTGTTATCATGTGCTTCTTTCTGGGTGGACTACAGAGAAGAAAACAGATGAAGAAAAGGAAAATGGAAAGGTGGTTCTAGAAAAGAGTCTGTTTCCAGGGTCATGAAGCTTTTGAAGAAGAACTTTAGGTCGGGCGCGGTGACTCAAGCCTGTAATCCCAGCACTTTGGGAGGCCAAAGCGGATCACGAGAGTCAGGAGTTTGAGGCCAGCCTGTCCAATATGGTGAAACCCCCTCTCTACTAAAAAATACAAAAATTAGCCATGTGTAGTGGCATGTGCCTGTAGTCCCAGCTACTCAGGAGGCTGAGTCAGGAGAACTGCTTGAACCCAGGAGGTAGAGGTTGCAGTGAGCTGAGATGAAGCCACTGCTCTCTAGCCTGGGTGAAAGAGTGAGACTTTGTCTCAAAAAAAAAAGTAAAAAAAGCTTCAATTATCTTAATATATCCAAGAAGGGAAGTCAAGGGAAGCCCTCAGGAAGCCAAGGAAAGGGGACCACTTGGTAGAAACAAGTATTAACTGTGACTTAACTAAACATATTGGCTAACTAGAGTTCTCATGTTCCTAAAGGCACAAATAACATCATTTATTTGTGTCAGATATGTAGTAGCATATTCCATAAATATCAGTAAACTACTGATACTATAAAAAGCAGCTGATATTGAACAAGAAAAGTTGTGGAATAATTTCTAAGCACTAAAAGATACTTTTTGTACAGAGAAGATGGTTTCAGATATCAAGCTTTGTAATGCTTCAAAATAAAGATCTGAATGTCGTGCTTTGTAAAAGAGATTTCTGAGCAAGTTTGTACTTTGTAGAATAGCCACTTGTCTTGAGACCATTTGTTTTTAGCCAAATGGTTCTAAATGTGATGGTGTCATGGTATGTGGGTACCACCATGGCCCTGGAAACACGTAGCACAATCCCCAAGACTAAGAGAAGAATGTTCAACGTACATCTATTAGGAAGTGCTCCCGCTCTTGACCATCGGAAAGTCTACAGATGACTTACTGTTGGTTTCAAGACTCTCACAGAGTTCACTTTTCACCTCGCCATTTGGTCTGTCATTTCCTTTTTGGATCAGTTTGCTTTGCATGGTGGCAGCTGTCACCACAGCCTTGAAGCTCCTCTTGCGTTTTTGAACATTCTGTTCTGGATGAAAAATTATAATATAAACCTTGGGCATATAGAGCATGCCCAGAGACACTGAAGCACTTAAACTCATGGAGACAGTAAGTGTTGTTGTCTGGATGTACATCTGAGGGGGAAAAAAAAAAGAATCACTGTTGGTAAACCTAACAGTAGGAGATAAAGCAAATAACGTACTATTTTCCAGCTAATTGTTCCAGTTTCTCTGCTAAAGGCACATTAAAAGGCACTTATTGAAATTGTCCTTAATTATAGTCAAGCCTTCCTGTATCCTAACCTGCAAATGTAGATGAGTAAGGTTTCTTTTTTAATTGAACACAATTTTTAAAAATAAAAATACAAACAACCAACCTGGTGGAGCTTATTTTCCCTTTTACATTATAAATAAACACACTTAAGGAAGGAGACAAAATCAGTCTGGCAAAACACTAACACTTAATGCCACACAGACCACCTTTAGAAGGTACTAGTGGTCCAAGTGTTGTTTTAGCCAGAAGTTAAACTATATATAGTGAAAATAGAGTGGGAGTGCAACATTCCAGAACATCACTATTACACGCCAGTGCTTGAATAATGCTTGTGGCTGCATCTTCACATCATTAATAACTCCAACTACCAAATATAATAAATCACAAGCATGTCATAAGAGCTTGATACTTTATTTATTTATTTATTTATTTTATTGCATTTTAGGTTTTAGGGTACATGTGAAGAACATGCAAGATTGTTGCATAGGTACACACATGGCAGTGTGATTTGCTGCCTTCCTTCCCCTCAGCTATATCTGTCATTTCTCCCCATGCTATCTCTCCCTACTTCCCCATCACCCCCCGATGTCCCCACAACGGACCCCAGTATGTAGTGCTCCCCTCCCCGTGTCCATGTGAACACTTTCAGAGGGTTCTCAGTGATCGCATCATATCAAAATAAGTCAGGTGCTTTTACAAAATATGTAATACCTCCTTCCTCCAAGACATATGCACTGGGATATGGTCCCAGTTTCTGCATTCTGAAATTCTCCCCTTGTGCTCATTGTTCATCCTATCCTATTGAAATTGATTTACAGAGAGAGATCTCTCTGGAAGATTTTTATTTCTACAACCTAGAGGTTAAAAATCTGAAAAAGAAAAACAAAAACAAAAACAAAAAAAGCTAAGATCACTGCTTTGCCTTTTTTTTTTTTTTTTTGGTTATGGTATTGAAGCAGAAACAACAGTATTCTATTCTTTAAAAACAGAAACAAAAACCTTTGATCTGGCTCCATTTTTCATGTCCTGAGCTCAAAATATATTTTCCCCCAAATAACTTGGGATACTGAGGCCACAGGGAAACCACATCTTAAGACTGTGAAGAGATTCCCTTTGTCATATCTATGATCCTTGTTAATAGATCTGTTCACTCTATTTACATCTCTGAATATGATCCCGATTAGCTGGATTTTTAAAAATATATCTTAATCTGTTAGTCTGGCTAAAATGTATGGTACTAGTTAGATTTCATCTGGCAATCCTCAAGACCCAACTGTGTCCTTTTTAATGAAGGATCAAAAAAAAAAAAAAAAAATCCATTTGCCCTCAAGGGTAAATAAGTGAATCAGCATTAGTGTTGCCTTTTTCCTAGAGGAGAAGGTTTCTCTTAACAGATGGCAAAACCTTGAGGTAAAGAACTGTCTAAACCATGAGCAGGATGTGAGGCACAAGTTAAGAGACTGTCTGTGGATATGAAATCATACCATGCAGATTGCTGAATTTACTGTCCAATTCATTTACCACTGAGGCTGTCCGCGCAGAAGAGCGCATTGTAAGTGTGGAAACCCCTTTAACAAGATTTACTACAAAGTTTACAAGATTTACTACAATTAAGAACATACCAATGAAATAAGGATATGTAGCTATACAACTCATAAATCTCCCTAAGCTTTGCCATCTACTTTTAAGCAACCTATTGTTGTAAACATTCCTAAGCTTCTCATGTGTTGGCTAATCTTCTTTGAGTTCCTGTTTTGCAGCTAGCATTGCTGCAAAAAACCCACACAGAAAATGGACTACATAGAAATGATATAAAGGTAAGAACAGAATGTGGCAAATTAAAAACCACGCCCATATATGTTCCAAAGACACTCAGTTTTAGAAAACCATCAGTTTTGTCCCAGTCAGACCCTGCCAAGTCAATTTAGCCTTAAAACAAACTAACAGATCCTGGAGAAACAGCCATAAAATTATGGGAACACCTAATTGATTAGTTGGATTTTTAAAATGTGCCTTATTCTGTTAGTCTTGCTAACATCTACAGTACTAGTCCAAATAGTACAAGAATATTTTTGTATTAAACATCCTATACATTTTCTCTGCTGCCAAGAATATAAATGATAATAGTCTTATCTTATTTGGAATAATTTCTGCAATATATAGTAAATTTAATCCTGCTAAATATTAGGCATGAAGAAGACTCTGGAATGCTGGCTTCCTCATTAAATACATTACTGCAGTCTATCCTTTTGGCAAGCCAATGCAATGAAAGATGTAATAAACACAGACATTAGAATTAAATAGTACTATGGTTAGTATAGCAAGCTCTTCATTAGACACTATACTTTCAAATTATTCCAAAATGCTGATCTTAATTATGTACTTTCTTAAAACAGCCTCTGAAAAATTTTAATGTGAGTTTAATACAGGAAAAGCATCTAACAAAATCCTTAGCAAACTAACACAGGAATAGAAAATGAAATACCGCATGTTCTCACTTACAAGTGGGAGCTAAATGATGAGAACACATGGAGACACAGAGGGGAACAGTACACACTGAGGCCTTTTGGAGGGTGGAGGGTGGGAAGAGGGAGAGGATCAGGAAAAATAACTAATGGGTACTAGGCTTAATACATGGGTGATAAAATAATCTGTACGACAAACCCCCATGACACAAGTTTACTTATATAACAAACCTGCACTTGTATCCCTGAATTTAAAGTAAAAGTTAAAAAAAATCCACAAAATCATATCCTAAAATCTACACAACCTTACAGTGGCCTAGCATTTGTTACAGGGCCATGGATTAGGTATGATTACACTGATTTTTTTAACTTCATCTTTGAAAAAGTCATGTATGTCATAACCTCAATGAAAGCAGTAACAGCAAAACAAGCAAAGAAATATAAATGCCACCTACTGTCCTTCTAGAGAAATTAAATCCTTAATAGCATGGATTATAGGATTCTGATTATCTCCCATATTTAATAAGAAGTTGAGAGATTAGATCTAACATTTGAAAATAAGCACTTGATTTTTTAAAATGCATGGAATTTTTTATACCTATAGAAAATTCTAATTACTTGAGCCATACAGGGAAGGAATATGTTCCAGTAGACCTGGGTATAAATTCTAGAACCACCACTTACATATATTTTTTTAAAACGTTAAGTTTACAAAGAAATTCTAGAGTTACTTTCTGGGTGACAAAAGCCCCCAAACCAACCTACCAGGCTACACTCCAAACTAATAAATCTTCCCTGGTAATTGGACAAATACCTTACTTTCTTCTCTGAACACAAAATTCTTATTTATGCCATTGGGTGGGGTGGTTTGGGGTAATACTTTTTTCATAGAGGAGTTACAGGGTAGAGTATTTAAAAAATCTCTTATAGATAGAAGATAGCTCAAGAGAGATTCTTTACCCTACAACTTTGCATCTAAAAAGATGCTAACAAAGTATCCTTCCCAGAGTATAGGACAAAAGAAGGGACTTATTAGACACTTATTCAAAGCAGACAATTTTGTTTAGCAAAAAGCTGATAGCCATGCTCTGACTATACGATGTCAAGGAAAAGCCCTTTGTAATCTCACTTCAAAGTAGGCAGAATAAAATTTTGTCCAAATGTGAACTCAAGACCATATTCACTGTCTGGGCCACATTCTTAGAATAATGTAACAGCTCTTTATCTTCAAAGTTACAGCTCACCAGAATGCAGGAGGGGACTGTATTAACTCCCACTAACCCACAAAAATTCAAGAGATGCTAGCCATGAGACTGGATATGTTAATAATAATCTTCTCTTTTCCAGCCTTTTTCTTATGTGCTCCCTCCTGGCCCTGTCACTCCAAAATACTAACACTCAAAGGATGGGGACTATATTTTCTATCACACACACTGATGGCTTGTTACTTACTCTGCCTCCATGCCCCATGGACATTTTGAACCTGAAGCAGTCAGATGAACTGAAGCAGATTTAAGCAATCTCTAGATAAGCCAGGGTTGAGCTGTGAAAATGGCGCATACTAATATGAAATCTTTTCTGGGACCTATTACAGTTCCCTCTTCAAACTCTGAAGAGGTCATCTGTACATATCCAAGGTCTACTCAATGTAGGTCATGATCTGGAATTATTAAAGACTCCAGGAAGAGTGAAGAGGGAGGAAATTATATTTTACCAGGACAAAGGTCAGTCTTTTGCTTTCAGCCAGCTACCAGTGCACAGACGCCACAGATTCTGACATCCAACCTGGTATGTTTGCAACGTCTTAGTAACTAAGGTAAACTATTATGAAACCTAACACTCAAGGCAACTTTATGCCACATGATAAGAAACAGATTCAGTATTTATTCCCGAACATTTCTGTTTTGCACTCAATGGTTTACTCTTACCACTCCGTTATAGTCACTAGGTTCTATATGGCTGCTTTGCATGCTGTTTGACCAGTTAGAAAACTACACTAACACTGATACCTGTCTTTCTCTGCTCCTGTGTCTACTTCTCATCTACATGTCTGTCAAAGTGAAACTTGCATCAAAAAATGGGTTGCCTTTCACTTTTTAGCAGCCAATAATCTTCAAAATCTCATTTACTACTAGAAGTCATTATTTTTAAAAAAGATATAGAGAAACTGGAGTTGCCCTGTGGGTGGTAACAGCCCAAATCAATCTATCATGCAAAAGTCCAAACTCTTATAAAATTCCCGTAGCAATTGAAAATTGCAAAAACTAGAGGCAACCATTCAGTTTTTTTGGCTGAGCCTGGAACCTCGACCAAGCTCAGATCAAACCTTTGTATGATTGTCCCTGTCTTGTTTACATTAAATATCTTCCTAGCTTCATTGCTTAGTCCTTCTCTGT